AAGTTCCTTTGACTACCCGCGCGAGCAAAATAAGGTCCAGACGAGATATTCTCGGTTGCATTGTCGCAGGAGCTCTGACGCTTTATTAAAATCAAGTTCTGCCGATTATATCTTTATTTGATCATTCATTTTTGCCTGATTCAACGCCAAAATTCTTGCCGGTACACACGCGTATCATCAACTCGACCATCATTTACACCACAGCAGCACAGTTTTATGCTCTTCGCGAATAGATGACGACGTCAATAGCACGTCTTTTAACTTAGCCTGTCGCGCTGAAAAAAAACAGCGCACAAAGCGGAAACTACCTGCAGCAGCGCCGAGAGATTTTTATCCGCCGTTCTGAAAACCGTATCGAGGCGAGTGGAAGGTCTCCCGGCGCCATTGAGGAGCGCGCTCGCGTGTTGAGCCATGGCGATTTAGTTAAAATTGGAAAGTGCGCACGCGCGACTCTTGAACTCGGCGAAGGCCGAGTTACAAGGCGAATTCCGCGGAATGTCAAGTTTGAAAAGATTAAAGGAAATTAGCCCGAGTGATATTGGACGCGAGCGGAAAACGATGCCGCGGCTGCAGGCGAGAGCAAACGTTGGAAATTCCGAAGATTGCTTCCGCGCGCTCGTTTGGCGTTGAAGATCAAATTAAACGCGAGCGTCGTAAAAAAAAAAATAGACAAGAAGGGCATCTACTTTCGGAGAGGAACGGAGAACCCGACCTCGACGAACGAAGCCGAGGGAGCGCGTTTGGAAAAAGAAAAATTGCGTCGTAAAAAGGCGTCGAACGTTCGCTCTCGACTCGACGCGGCGGCTTACGCTCGCGAGGATACGCACTGGAAGCTGCGTGCGAGCAGCCTCGCGCGCACAACCGCAATGTCGTACTGTATTAGTTGATTTTGCACGCGCGTCGGAGTGCGAATGCTAAAGCGCGTAACGAGGTACAACGACTGTAAATTTTTTTTTTTTTTTTTTTTCAGCTCTCGCTCTCTTTAATGGATGCAATGGATGCGTTGATTAATCCGCGGGATCGTATTGCCACTCTGTGCTAATCCTCGTTTTTCTCTTTTTTTTCGCTCTCGCTGCGTCATTTTTGACAACGATTTCGAAATTCCTGCGCGACATAACGACCGCGGCGAACCGAAGGCATTCAATGGCACTGCTGTTTCCAACAATTCGAAAAAAATTTTCGAGCAAATGAAACTTGATTGCCAGTAAACAATAAACGCAATTCACGTAGTTATGATTGATGTTATTAACGGCGTAAGTGAAGTCCGTCGATGATAATAATAAGAGTAAGAAAATGACGTGCATGCAAAGTGAGAAGAGGGGGGAGGGGAGCGCGAGATCGACGTGCTTGGGAGAGCGGTGTCGAGCGAATCGCGGTATCAACGATCGCGGCAGCAAAGCGGTGCTGGCGGGACAAAGAATTTCGGTCGGCTGCTCGCGCATGGATTATCGGCGAGCGCGTCGCGCGTGCATCGAGGCGGCCTCGCATATGAGCCATTAAGTAGTTTGCAAATTTAAGCAGCCGCTTCCTACCGGCGGCCAGGCGCTCAAGTGACGTTACGCAATTGCGCGCGCGTGCGAGCGCTATACACCCGGCGATTTCTCTGATTGACGAGAGTTATGGCCGCAGCCGGCGCGCTCGGCTTCGGCGACGATATTGTCATCAGCCTCGATGCGACGCTCCGCGCGCAAGCGATTCGCAGAAGCCAGTGTCTCGCTGATTCCATCCCGGCGAGGCGCGCGGCATTGTCCGATTTGTCGACGCCCGGAATGCTCGCGTCCAGACGCGACGAATAAAGGAAACCAATGACAGCGAAAATGATGCCGCGCGATGGACTTTTCTCTCGCGGACGCGCGGACTGCGAATCCGTCGCACGCGCGGGAATTAACTGTAATTAAAGCGACAGCCTCGCTGCGCGCATTTTGATTGAGTCCGGTTCGCGCTACGCGTCGCGCTCCTCCCGGAATGGAAATCTCGTATTTGATATTCATACGGCGCCGAGCGTTCATTCTCGAAAAAATGACGCGCGGCAATCGCTCGCAATTTCGCGCGATACACCGAGCCAATTGATATTGTAAAATTTGCCGTTGTCGCCTAGTTAGAATTTTACCGCCGTAACGCGGAGAAACTCAGCGGGACCCGTAGCAATCGACCCTACAAGCGAAATACAGCTAATGATAAGCTTAGCTATCTACGTAGCAATTGTTGCTGCTTCTTTTATTTGTGTTCTTGAGCGCGACAGCGATTTCAGGTGTCTCGGCGTTGCGCAGTCCGTCGTCGAAATTGTCATCAGCAGGAGATGTCTGCAACGGACGCGCGTCAGCGGCGCCTCCGATCAAAGTTTTAATGAGAAATCAAAGCGGCGAGAGCGAAAATTGACGCTATATCTCTCGACTTTGCTAACGGAAAAGCGATACTGTGTTGCAAATGCGCTTCTCGCTCGTCGTAGCTCGAGTTCAGGTAACTTCTGGACACAAATCTCAAGCGTGTATAATGCACGTTGATATCAAAGTTTGCTCGCGCGTGTGTACCTCCGTGACATCTCTCGGGATTCAAAGTGTTCGCTTATGAAGAGCGACTCGATGGAACACAGCTGCTGCTTGCCGAAATGGTTAAATAGCCGAGCCGAAAGAGCCTCGCTCGCGAAAAATTGCAAAGGGACAGCTCGAAAACGAGGCGAATGCAAAGTCGAGTGCCTAAGACAACGAGGAGCGATGACCATGACAACGTGGATAATGACGATAATGACGGTGTAATGACGACTATGATGTTAATCGAGTTAGAGAGCAGGATAAATTAGCCCAATCTACGCCGGGCGAGTAAAGCGTTCTCCCACTTGAAGCGTGTAATAACTTAAACTCGAGAGACGGAGCGAGTCGCAGGGTGATGGGCTAACTAACTTCCGGGAATCGCATTGGCGTAAGAATCCCATCTAATTAACACTCGAGAGAGAGAAGTCCGCGTTGGATTTCGTTCGTTTCCGCATTTCGGATTCATCGGTCGCAGTATCGCCAGCAACGACCTTTGGCGCGATCTCGGCGAGAGAACAATCATCCGATTAGCTCGGCGGCTGCGAACAAAGCGCGTAGGCGGTACTCGCACAATTGGATCCCATTGTTCGCCCGCGCTACGGACTCGATTTCAGCTCTGTCTTGATTTGCGAGGTAAACAGGCCGCGCGCGGACTCGCGATCTCGACGCCTCTCCGTCCGGGCGGCGCCGCTCCGTGGATCTCTTTTTCTCGCTTCGGGATGCCAGGGACACTCTGGAGTGGCGCGATAAGCTTGAGATTCCGACGCCGGGGCTATCGAAAAACTGCGTGTGCGTGTGTCCTGTGCCGTTCGTGGTAATTTCGCGATCAACTCCGCATCGACGGCGAATTCGTTTTACTGGCTTGCAAATGAAGAGGAAAGAAAAGAACGATCCATACAGCATGGACGAGAAAAATATTTTCAACTCCCGCGCGTGCGATATAGTACGCGCGTTTTCTTTTTATTTATTTTTTTTTGTAGGCCATATTTCGTGCTTATGGAGCGTTCGACAATCGATAGAGGATTATCGTTCGAGCGTTCGACTCCCAAATCCTCTTTAGCCCAAGCTCTCTCCGCGAGAGACTTCGTATAATCTTCCGTAAACTAAAACCATATTCCGAGTTTCCGCACGAGGTAAACGTTAATGATCAAAGCGTAAACTTGAATGGCATGAAAAGTTCGTGCCGAAGACGGTTATCGGTCATATATCCTTTTCCGGTCTCGGAGCTTTACCTTTTGTTCGATTACGACGATATTTAATCTTGAAAATTCGAGCGCTCTCTCGTGGAAAAATTCTATTCGCCGAACGACGGTAAAACTACCATAATTCAAAGTAAACATCAATCCTTCAAGAGGCTGAAACAGCGAGTCAAAGGCCGCGCACGGTTTCTCAGAAAACTGCCGAGCCGTCAAAATACCGTTGTTTCCGCGCCTGGAAAGTCCCCGCGTAAGCTGCGAAAATTCGTCGGAAAAATTCGAAGTTAAGTTCCCCTGACGATCCCCGCCGAGAGAACCGAGGTCCGGACAGGATATTCTCGATCGCATTACAAAGCTGCTTAGTTTTATCAGCGGCCCCACTGCAATCGAATTGATGCGCGAAGCCGACGGCTATTTCGGTTACGGGAAAGGCATCCGCACGCGCGCGGCTAATTGCGTCTTCTCGGAGCCCATTTGATTGCGCCCTTTATATTTAGACCGCGCGCGCTGCGCCGAGGAGCTTTTGCCTCTCCGCTTCTATTTCGAGCGAGCTACGTGCGGGCTCCTCTCGCCTGCGCGACGCTGCAGCTGCAAATCTGATAAACATATCCCTTTGGAATCTCGGATGACGGCAGTTTGATTGTTCGCCGAGTCAAAGAAAAAATTAGCGAGAGAAGGAGAAGATCGATCGTTCGAAACTCAACGAATCGCCGAAAATCGTTCGTTTCATTACGGAGCAAGCTCGATTCCTTAAGAAGCCACTCGACCCGATTTGACCAAATGCCCAAGAATACGTGCGACGGTCTAAAGCGCGGAAGGATAAACAACGCTTAAGCTAAGTGAATTAAAGAGTCGCGAGAGCGAACGATTATATAGCCAAATCCCTTCGCAAGCGTAAGCAGTTGGATGCAAGCGATTGATCGGGATTATAATTACGCAACCACTGTTAATTGATAGTTGCTAATAAACGAGTTTTCATTTTTTATTTTTTTTCGAGCTCGCGGACGTATCGGATAAAGCAGCCGCCGAGTACTCGCTCCTCTCGACTTGGAAGTTAGACAGTCGTTGGTGCGCTCACACACGACGAGCTCTACTCGTACATTAATGAGACTCGCTTTTGCGTGAAAAGCCGCACCACGCTTCAAAGAGTCGAGCGCACACGTATCCAAGGAATTGCAGTCTGAAGGTCACTCAAGCGCACGGGACTCACCGCGTCGATGCTTTTTGCGCGTGTAACTGTCTTTCTTGGGAGAGGGGAGGGGGGCGAACTCACCGAAAACTGGAGCACGGATGTATGACCCAGTGGCCGGCAGCCTTTTGCCTGATGCGCTCCTTCATGAGGGCCTTCTTGCTGCCGAACAGCTTCATGGCGAGCTTGTTGTCGGTCGGCTGGAACAAGGCCTGCAGTTGGTTCTTGATGAAGCTCTGCTTGACCTCCTGGCCGGGCAGACCGGGGCCCAGCTCCTCCTTGGGCGTGCCGTACAGGGAGACATCGTCCACCCCGAAATGGACCTTGCCGCTTCCCTTGTAATTCATCTCGTTGCCTGCAACAGCGATCCGCTCGGTCAGTCAGCTGACTCCGCTAGGGGGGAACCCATTAATCTTCGCGCGCGGACTTATCGCTTTTACAGGAGATAAACAGGGACGGAGGGGCCTTATCGACTCGACGCTATTTTTAGACGGTACGTAGATCGGAGCCGCTGTGTCCAAGCGCACGTCACGCCAAGAGGAACCAAAATGGCATTAGTCGCGTCTTATTAAAAAACGCGGGTTATCCCCACGCGATCAGCCAACACATATCCTGTTGTGTGGGAAAGTGGGTCAAGACTAATCGAACCACCCGTAAGTTACCGAGGGACAAGGCATCCGTTCACTTATTAACGCCTTTATCACGCGATAAATAACATCCTCGCGCGACTTGTAAATCAAGATTCTTTCGAAAAGAGCGAGAACAATTAGAGGCGCCGGCGCGCGCGCGCGCGCGCGCAGATGATTAACGGCACTCCGAAAATCTGCCTTGAATAATTATTGGTTGCGAAATATAGTCACAGAGTAAAACACACGCGGATCGAGTCATTAATACTAGAGGCGACAGTTGACGATTTTCCTCGATGTGATAAACGATTTTAAATCCACAACCGTGCGCGCTCGCGTTTCGTAAGCGTCATTTTTCACGTGCTCTTCTTTTTTCTCTCGGCTCTGCGTCGTGTCTAATGGCATTACGGCGGCCTTCGTTACAGAAAGAACTCTGCGGGGATCGACACACCAGCAATCATTTGAATCAAGACAAGCGAGTTTTTCAAATAGGATGAACATATTCATCGAAATACCAACGAAAATCCGACGTATGATGAGCAGCGACCAATAAAGCCGCATTCGATTTTCATTTTCGAATGGAAGCGACGTCTTCGCGATTGAATGCATTCGTATTTACGCAGCGAGCGCACATTTCCTATGCCAACGAGAAAAGAAAAAGAGAACGAGTTTTCGTTGAGCAAACGATAGAGAAAGAAAATTATGATCGACGATTATCGCGCAGCCGCGTTTTCCTATTCGCGCAAAAAAAGAAGAAAGGAAAAATGCCATTGTTCAATCGCTGGTTTTCGTGTTATAAGGTAGTTCGATAACATTCCGTGATGACCGATAAGTAGCTCAGTTACATACCCTAGTGCATTGTTCGTTGCAAAGTGCCAGCGGCACGTAACCGACGTTAAAGCGGAAAAAACGAGCCACAGCGGTTTTATTATTTTGAGCATCTCGCGGAGAAAAAAAAACTATAATTATTGGACGGCGAGCGTATACAACAATATTTTTTCGCGCTCGCGTATTCCGCGGGGGAATAAATATTGTCCTTCCGTTCCGAGCCAAGTGCACACGGCGCGCGGTTACGTGACGCGCCGTTGCACTCCTCCCGGCTATCGCCGAGTCGAGTTCGTTTTCGCTAAAAATAATAGCGGTTTATTTTCACCGGCTGCCTGCCCGCCGATTACCTTCGCACCGATAAGAACGCGATATTATTCGCGCGATACTTTCAAGAGCATAGCCCCGCGCCAAGAGGGTTCAAGGTGGGAGCATCGCCAACGAGTCTAATTTACCGACGGCGCGGTCGCGTTGGCGAGCTGGACTAACCTGTGTCTCCAAGGAAATCGGTAATGAGGAGGGTCTCGTCGTCTAGCGCGGTGACGAGGCTGTCGGTGCAGGTGTTGGTGTTTTCGATGCTGATCTTGATGCTGTCATCCTTGTTGAGCCTGGGATGGTTGTTGTTGCCGTAGTGATTGGCGGAGGGATTGTAGTGGACACCGTTGTGCGAGGCGCCAAGGTGATGATGAGGCGACCTTATGGACTCGGTGCTGCTGGTGTGAAGGCCAACGCCAGTGGCCGCGCGTCCGTTCACCAGACGCAGGCTTGGCGCCCGCCTCCCTCCGCCGCCGCCGCCGCCACCACCGCCAGCGCCACCGACGTTACCGCCGCCGCCGCCGCCGACTTGTCCGCCACCGCCACCGACGGCGCCGCCGATCGCAGAGCCAGTGCGGCCACCCCCGCCACCTCCTCCTCCTCCTTCGCCCTCCCTGCGTACGTCAACAGCAAACAGCGAAAGTGCATTTGCACCGGCTTTAGTATGTCTGTACCAGCGATATATGGCTCTTGTATCCTACTGCACACGCGTGTTAGCAAGATACCCGCGGTCACGGCTTTGCTTCACAGAGCTTTGTGATTTCGCATTGTGGATGCGATGATTTATGGTTGGCTCTGTTTTACCGACTGAGATCTACTTCCTCGAATGCACCTATTTCTACAGATACGATTCATCTCGCTTCGATTTTCATTCACATGCATAAACGACCTTCTATCTCTCACTTTTTACGCACGCAAGGCCACGCGAAAACAATATATCCGGTACCTGAGAAACTCCGTCGTTAGCGATTCAATAATGTATACACGACGTCTCTAAAATTGCGTTGTACGTACATGTAGGGGTACGTTGAAAAATTGAGAAAACGGTGTACATGCGCGTGCACGCTCGTGGAATCGACACGTCGATTTATAGAACTGCGAGATGTCCTTTTCATCACAGCCCGCTGGTCAGTTAAGCTCGACAAAAAAGAGGCCTCTTTTTTTTTCCTCGCGCGCAGCTTTCCGCGTTTGTTCGTTCATCACCCCGCCATTTTTCGACGCCGCAGCTGTTATCGCGAAGCAAAGGGCTGAACGATCTCTCGCGCGCGGACTTTTGTTTTCATTGTTCCCTCGTTCGCGCGATCCATCGTCCTTTCGATAGCGATAAATCACGTAGTTTCGCGATGATCCCTCGCGCACGACGCAACAGCAGTAACCGATCGTCGTGCCTTGAAAACCATACGGCACGCACTCGACCGCTACGTCGTCGCGTGGGTTTTTGCTGCGCGACGTATGGCCACCTGTTGCTGCGTTGGCCGCCGGAAAAGTGCAAGCTCGTAATTATTCCCCGCCTCCTTTTTCTCTCCGTGCCGGAGAGAAAGGTCGAACACGCCTGTTATATATTTTTTTCCTTTCGGAGAAATGAACGGAGCGGTGTGCCTGCAGCCAAGTTCAATTGGGCGGCGAGAGAAGATTCATTGCGGATATCTTTCTCGAGAGATTTGCTCATTACTTTGCGAGAGTAGAGATGGAGTGACCTAGTTTTTACACCCGGCCCCCTTCCTGACTCGAGAGATTAATTCTCAGTGTTCTCTGATTCTCAGTGTTTGCAATCGGTTACTCGAAAGTCCAGCGTGATTCAACTAGAAGACAATCGAAGATGCCCAATTCCGCGACAAATGGAAGGGAGGGAAGTTGCAAAAAACGTTCTTTTTTCTTTTGGAGAAAAAAATCTCGCCCGCGAGAGAAAACTACTCGGGGAGGTGCTGTAATTTGTGAATAGTTCAGGGCAGACGCGAAACAACGGTCGGCTTTTTTTTCTCTTGGCCTCATTCTTAAACTTGTTCATGATTTACGCGCGAAACGGTAAAGCACCAACGTACAAGCTTCAAAGACGAATGGCGTTTTTTTTCCGTCGAAAACTTTTTTCTCAAACAACGAACTATTCAGCAGCGTCAACGACAAAGGACGGGATATTATTATATCAACGTTTCGCCAGCGGCACAAGGCCTGTGAAAAACGCAAAGCAGAATGTAGCCTATATGAATTCAAGCGTGAACGTTAAGATCCCCCGCTGCGGGAGATGTAAGCGACGACTCGTACAATCGTATCTCTCTCTCTCTCTCTCTCTCTCTCTCTCTCTCTCTGTTGCGGTGTATACATACACACGCGATTAAGCTTCTTACTGGCTCGTAACTAATGTTCCGACGCGAACGTGCGATTTTCCAAAATAAAAAACAAGTAAACGAATGCGCTCGCCGTGACGAGCGAGCTTGCGAAAATGCTCCCGGCCAGCCTCGAAAATTTTGATAGTTGTATAACGAACCCGCGCCCAATTTGCCGCAGTGGCGCGCGAGCACGCTAACAATCCTCGAAAAGCGCCCGGAAACTCGACAGCTGACAAGAGCGAAGCGCAGCATCCCTGAGATCAACATAAGCAGTCGTGGCTACGACACCCGCACACTCGAAAAGTGCTATTTTAAAAGAGCAAGTGTCAAGGTCGCCCGGCGCACACCAGGTGAGCGCGTAAAAAGGCTCATCGATTGTTATACGCCGGCGCCGCGGCTTTTCAAAGAAAGATTTCGTGCCTAGTTAGCTGTGACCTCGATGGAGACCGACGGGCCACTCTGCAGACGCGCCCTATCAGCAAATGAACAGAACACTCGATTTACTCTGTCTTTTTTTTTCGCTCTTCTTCTTTTTGCTCCTTTTTGCGCATTGTGCGATTTCTAGGCGTCAAGTGCCGGCAATAATATTTTGCTGCTCGTGCTTTGCGCAATTTATCGTATTTCTTTTTTTCGAGCTCGATCGACCTGATTGGACGAGAAAACTACTTTTCTTCGCGAACCATCTTTCGCCTGAACATCTACGACTCTCTCGTGCAATTTCAATATTTTTCGACACTTCGCTAGGAAGTCAAAGCGTGTAATATAAAGTCGAGTAACGAGGCCTGGCAAAGGAAAAATAAATATTGAGCCGTTCGACAAAAAAGAACTCGTAAGTCATGCACAGTTTCCGCTCGAGAGACAACGCAGGAATTTTTACCTCCGAGGCTGGCAACGATAAAAAGAGGGAAGAGAAAAGATACATCTTTCCGAGCCAATTTTCCGTACTAAGGCCTCGATTGGATTTGAAATTGCTGGCAAAAGAGTGAGCAAATTGAACGCGCCGATCGAGACTTTAACGATTCCGGCGGGCTGAGCGCAGCATAATTTCGCCGACGCGTTTTCTTTTGCAAAAAAAAAAGGAGAAATCGACGCGCGTCAAGTGTCATTGGCGCTCGCTCATCGGCGCCGAAGTAAACTTGAACCGCGGCGCCTTCGCGCCTCGGCAATTCGCCTCGATTAGTGTGCCTTACGCGGTGCGATACGCCGATGCGCGAGTCCATTTCCCGCGCAGTGACCTCGAGAGAGTCTCGAAATTCCAGATCCATCTCTCACTCCTCCCCTCCTGCGATTTTGATCGGAAGCAACCAGTTCCATCGGAATCTCGTCAGCTCTTTTCGTGCTCGCTTGTCCAGTAGCAATAATGAGCGTTCATAGGCCGTTGGCTTGTCTTTTCCGCGGGTCGTGAGCGCCGGGAGTTCCCAAGTTATTGATGCATGCAACAACGATGTTTACGCTTATCCCGCGGCTATTAATAGTCGACTTGCGCGCACGATGCTTTTGGATTTGTCGGATAGCTCTGTGGTGAACGGCGCGATCGTTTCTGCGCTCTTGTGCTCGCGAATGCAGTTCGTTAAACTGCTTTCCGATCGAGCGTAGAAAAAAAAAGAGAAAAGCGAAATGTCATCGCCGCATTCCCAATTGCGCGCGCCCTTGGCCCAGCCGACCGGCTCGAAAAATTGCCAACGTGTAACAATAAATTGTCCGCATCGGCTGGAGCAAATGAACGCCGATAAATGCAAAGCCCCACTGCAGCGCAATCAATATGCAAATTTAATAAGCGCGCGCGAGCAGTCATAAGCTCGCACGAGGGGGGAAGTGAAGTGGCGAAAGAAAAACGAAAATCACGCGGTGCGACGCGCGAATTATTAATGGGTGAAGCCCTCGATCGGGCAGTCGAGCAAAAGAAACGCGCGATATGCGCCTATCTCCGAAAATAGCGGCGGAAGCAGCCCGACCTTGACTTTCTTTCTATGCGAAATGAAGCACACACGTCGACGCGGGATTTAGGATTAATCTGTCACTAGCAATTGCCTCTGAAAAATTAAGTGAACGCACGCGAGAGAGAATTCTACTTTTTTTTTCTATTCGTTCGTTCCCCCCTTCCCCAACTATCCGATATAGCGGCGGTAGTCTAGTCACGCACAGCTGTCGCCGACGCCTCCGATGCATTCGGAAGCGAGCGTCGAGTGAAATTCATTGTTTTTTTAGAGCCAGAAAGAGAGATAGAGAAAGACAGACAGAGAGGGAGGAAGGGGGGAAGAGTATATCGGGTCGGCTTTGCCGGCATTGTATTAGCGTAACGACGTTTGACGAGAAACGCACGGGCTGAATTTCTCATTCGAAATATCCAATGGCTATCAAAGCTCCGACATTGCCCGTTGAAAAATTTAGTGTACTCGTTATCGCGGGAAATCCGCAGATTTTTGCCTTCGCGCTAATTGGCCATTTGCGAAATTGAACATCTCGGCGCGCGTGCATATTGTCAACTGGCCGTAGAAAAAGGTCGCATGCACGACGCTTGTGAATTACGTCATCCGAAAACACGACAAAACACGCCGACTTCCTGCCGTCGCGCATTTAAAATTTCAACCGTGATATAAAAAGAAGTTCGAACGCTCTTGACATCCGACGACGACGCTAATCACTTCGTTCCTTGTCTCTCTCTCTCTCTCTCTCTCTCTCTCTCTCATTCTCTCTTTCTCTAATACGAAACTCGATGTCGGTGTAAAAACACGCACTGTTCCGCGGGAACTCGCCTCGCAATACGTACGCGCGTGCGCGCGGGCCATGCAAGATCGTCCTTTCCGGCGGACGTGCGACCTGTTGACTTCCTCGATCGTAATCTACGAGTTTCCGGCATTGACTTTTTTTTCTCTCTTTCTCTCTCCCTGTTTTTTCGGCAGACGTTGTCTTTCGGTATATCGCCTTGAGGTTTTATCCGCGTGCGCGCGAGAGACAGAGAGAGAGAGAGAGAGAGAGAGAGAGAGAGAGAGAGACTCGACCATGTCGTCCGCGCTCCATTATTTTTCCAATAACGACCACGAACCAATGCTAATCTCTTGCTTTTTTTACGATGTCGTTGGAAGTGAAAAAGATCGAGTCGCGCCGCGCGCGGCACGTTTCTCTAAAACGACACGAGCGTGATTTTCTCGGGTCGAGCATTTTTCAACTGTAAGAGGGGTCACAGCCAACGGCTGTTAAACTTGCCTAAACGCACGGCCTTGGCAAATTAAAATGGATTGGCTTTTATCTTGCGGAGAGTAGGAGAGAGAGAGAGAGAGAGAGAG